AATTGCCTTTTAAAATAAAACCTTTTTTTTCACGTGTTTAACCCTTTAAGGATATGTGACAGACGTTTTCCATCACCTTTTGCTTCTGAAGCTTTTTCCTTACGGCGCTAATGAATAATAGCTGTATTTTATATGACATGGTGTCATTTAAAAAAAAAAACACTAAAAGCACCACAACCACTACAGGTTGGTGTAGCAGTTTTGGTGCTAGGATTGCCCTGGTGTTACCATATAAGTCCTGATATAAATAGTTACACTGTTTTAAATTGATTTCACTTCTTACCTGGGATATTCTGTGCACCATTCCCTGCCTCTATCTCTCCTGTCAAAGTGCGAGAAGCTCCTCCAAGGAGTTCCCATTAGATCTCCTGAGCTAGGCCCTGCACTGCTGGGCATAGAGCAAGGCACAGAGCTTCAGGCTCCAGAAGAGGTAGGAAGAAGGAAGTCAAAAAAATCAATGTAAGAAGTCAAAACATTAAAAAAATAGTTAAATGTATTACAATGGGGTGTGTCAGAATAGTACTGTCACTATAATCACTGCAGAACACTTTTAGTATACTGAGCAAAAAAACTGTGGAGACAACATTATTCATTAACCCCTTAAGGACACATGACATGTGTGACATGTCATGATTCCCTTTTATTCCAGAAGTTTGGTCCTTAAGGGGTTGAACGAGCAATTTTCCTGAATTAACTAGGAGATTTAAAATTTTAGATGAAAATGGCCAAGTTGAAAAAATATTTTCATTACTTTCATTTTGCTTGTAATGTGCGATTCCCTGGTGAATTCTCAACAATCCCAGTTTAATGATTAACCCCTTAGTTACAGACTGTTTTTCAATTTTCTTACTGTTAAGGACAAGGGCTGCTTTTACATTTCTGCAGTGTTTGTGTTTAGCTGTAATTTTCCTCTAACTCATTTACTGTACCCACACATGTTATATACTGTTTTTCTCGCCATTATATGGTTTTTCTAAAGATACCATTATTTTCATCATATCATATAATTTACTATAAAAAAATAAAATATGATGAAAACATTTTTTTTAAAAAACACACTTTTTCTAACTTTGACCCACAAAATCTGTTTCGCATCTACAACCGCCAAAAACCACCCATGCTAATTAGTTTCTAAATTTAGTCCTGAGTTTAGAAATATCCAATATTAACATGTTCTTAGCTTTTTTTTTTGCAAGTTATAGGGCAATAAGTACAAGTAGCACTTTGCTATTTCCAAACTATTTTGTTTTCAAACTTGGGGTATTTTGACTCTTTAAATGCAACCGTTTTACCACCAATATATGCCAAATATTTTTTTTTTTAAATTGGTAATTTTTTTGACACACATAGCAATTTCAGAATACATGTACTGAGAACATTAAGGATTACTGATTTTATTTATTTGTCTCAACCTTAGTTGATATTCCCTCGTGCAGTACCCATTCACAGCACTACCTCTGTTTGGCACTGCTTCTAATTTCTTTTCATTAGCACTTCACCTGGTCCTTGTTTAGCACCTATATAGTTTGGTTTCTCCCCTCATTCCTTGCCAGATCATTGTCTCTTGTCTGGTGTTTCCCTGGTTCCTTGTGATTCTGGCTCCTGGCTCCTTGATCCTGCATACTGTTCCTTGGTCCTGTGTCCTGCGCCTCCTCATCTTCGTTCCTGTGTTCTCCTGGTCTTCGTCCTGTGTCCTCTTGATCCTGCATTAATATGTCCTCCTGGTCCTTCGTTCCTGTGCCCTCCAATCCTGTGTTCTGGTTCTGTGTTCTCTGCTTTATTACCAGTGATCCTGACCCTGCAGCCTTGTTCATTTATTCTGCTTCTGACCTTGCTTCCTGGTGTCAGTATATTAGTCTTGTGGCTCTGGATCTGTGCCCTACCTACTACTACTGGGAACTGCACAATCCTGCCCTTATACCAAAGGACTGTTTCAGTATACGTTGCCTGCACTATTCGTGCTTATCCTGATTTATTGTATATATTTTGTGGCATTGTTTTGTTTTGTCTTTTGGTTCTCTGAAATATATAAATCTCTTGATTTAACCTATTCATTTGTGTCTTGGCATGTATTTCTTTGCTGTATTGGTTCCCACATTTAAAGGGACAGTGCTGTTCCAGGGCAGTACCTCTTCATGTCATTACACTCAGCACACAGGCAGAGCATCGGAGGCCTGCCTGATGGCTTCCGAGGCTCTGCTACACTGTCGGGCGTCACGAGAGGCATCCCGGAAGTGATGGTTCCTGGGGGGCGATCACTCGGTGGCCCGGCAGTGAGGAGAGGTATTACATGATCACTGCAATCCTATTAGAGCTGCTGGAAGCGATCACAATTGCTTCCAGCACTCATATTTGCCACGAACGTACTAGGTATGGACCATTTTTTGTCGGACGTACCTAATACGCCTGTGGTCCTTAAGGGGTTAAACCTGCCAAGTGTCTAAAACCATTCCCTATATCCTCAATAGTGCTATCCACAGACTATTTTTTTAACCCTTTTAATACTGGTTTGGGGAGAAATAACATGACAGAGGGAAGCAGAGTGCTACATACTAGCTGTTTGCATGGTGACTTGCACCCAATGTTAAAATATTGGGCAGGGTTGTAGATTGCAAATAAAAACATAGAAAGAGAGCTAGTTCTGGCACAGATGGAAATAAAATTTATTAGACATTTATTTACCTCCAACAGTGTGGAAAACATAAAATCTCATGTTTAAAATATTGCAAAAAAAATATGTTTCGAGTAACTTATTTCAGGCAAGGGCATTGCCAACTTAAGCATAACAGAAAGTTTCTTAACAAAACAAATGAAAATATGGACTTTCACTTTAACAGCTGTGATGTGACTATATCTTTCATAATGAATGGTAAAGAAAGCATGGAAATGAGTGCATCACTTGAGCAAACTAATAGAAATAGCCATCTGGAGAAATCACCCACTGTATTGGCAGGCATGGTACCAGTGTGTTGTGTTAACATGCTTTGTATCCCACATGGAAGGAACGTGTGGATCTTATTTTTCATTATAAACTGTTTAAAGATATACACAACAAAATACTTCTCATTCCTTTTTCATAATAGTAAAAACTGATGATATAGAACAAAATGTTTTCTATAAATTCCATAGAGCTGCACAGATAAAAGTTATTTTCCTTTACAATTGGACTTTACTGTTTTAGAGGAGAGGTGTGTCTACACTGGGAATTGTGTGATTCTTTACTCATCATTCCAGTACTCTTCCTTGGAGATACATGGACTGAACTTCAGGTAACTATATTGTACGATCTCATAGCAACCACCCCCCACCCACGCAAAAAAACACATGTTTGTGCAATAGAATAAGCCTTCATTATAAACTAATCTTGCAACCTACTTTTCTCAGAAATGAAATACAAGCTACCCTTACCTCTTGTGTCACTTTCCTCCACTCCCTCTAGAATTAAAGCTCATTTGAGTATGGCCCTCAACACCCACTGATCCTGTGGGTCCAAATCATCTTGTTGCAAATACGTGTGTTAATCCACCCATTGTACAGCAATGCAGAATTTGCTGGCATTTATTAATAATAATAATATCACCATTGTACTGAAGGGCATAGAGCAGAGCAGAGAGATTCAGGCTCCAGAAGAGGTAGGAAGAAGGCTACAACACCAAAAACACAGTAAAAAAAATATATATATATAGCTATACATACTTAAATTGAATTTGCTGTTAATGTAGTGGTTAGTACCTACCAAAGAGGTGTGCAGTTCTAGGGCATCCAGGTTGTTCCCCAACAGAACACTGTTTGGAGGTCCATTTGGAGGTGTGGGGTCTGGATAGTCTCCCCAGGAGGGGGAAGATCTGTAACAAACTCCCCTTTTCACAAGAGTTTTCCACAAGGTCCTGGAGGAGCCTGCTTGCCTGGGCCTGGTAAAATACAATGTGAAAGTCTCTGTGTGTGCCTGTTTGGACTTATATGGCCACACTTCGAACTTTTAAACTTATGAAGCCGAATGGCATTCGAACACGTGGCGGCGGCCATCTTGTTTAGTCGAACACATCCAGCGGTGTTTGGTTGTCGAGCGCATGGAGCTCAAATCGGACACTTGACGGCATGAACACTGCTAAAACTTTACCTTCCATGGAGGTCCAGCTATTCGAATGGGAGTCGAACAGCGTTCGGTAAAAATAAATCCACGAACAAAGAATATACAATGACTATATCCACGAACGGCTTCATTCAGTAATTTGAGCGTTACTTCAACTCCTCGAAGTAGACCGGCCGCACAACCTGATTCTCTGGAACTGTTTTGGGAATGAAACCATGCGTGCGGTCGGTCAAAATGGGACTTCCATAGAATTCCTGAACCCCTGAACTGATCTGGGTGATTTTTGGATATGTTGGTCACCCAAATCAGGGCTATCAGGGGATTTAATAATTGTGGGGAATTTATGTGTTTTGGGGGTGCTTTTGGGGTTTTGTAAAATATGTTTTTTTTTTCTGCCTGTAGATAATTCGGTTAATGCAGTATCTGCCTCAATTCAGAGAGGAGGAATTGTATGTTTGCATTGGGTGTGTCACACTTTGTAACCATGTTGTTATTGGTTGTTAAGTTTGTGTCCCTGTCCCCAAAAAGGTCCATGTGGTTGTATACCCTGTTTGGGAACTTGCATAAAAGGCAAGTGTGGCACCATTTAAAGGTATTCCAGCTTACACTCCAAAACTGTGTGTCATCCTGTTATTGGAGGGAAAGAAGATTTACTCCTGTGTCTGCCGTTCCAGCTTGAATCAAAAAACAACGGGGAAACAAAAAATTCAACGGGGAAAGTCCTTGTAAGGACTAGAGCTAGTTCCCCATTCGGCTCCAGGAAGGAGTGGTTCCAGGGCCCAGTCAAGCCATGGCAACTGTGGGCAGAAGTGCTGCGGTTTGTCCCCTGTTCCAGCTAGGAAGTGGTCCTTGGCGGAGGTACCCAGCCAGGGGTACAGGGTGCTCCGTTACAATATATATAAACTAGATACTTTCCAGACAGTCCTTGTATGTATGTATGTATGTATGTATATGTGTGTGTGTGTGTGTTTATATATTTATATATATATATATATATACATACATACATACATACAAGGACTGTCCAGAAAGTATCTAGTTATGTAATATGAATAGAGACAATTATTGAAGAAGATACAAGAAACATTGTACGTAGGACAATGACGCCACAGTCTCCTTCAAAGTAGGTATACTATAAAATAGTATAATAACTACCGGTGCCAAGTATAAAGTGCAATGTGCAATTACGTCATGCAATGTAATTGTGTACAGCTTGTTACCACTGTGAAACCAACCACATCAGTTTCAAAAATAAAATGTAGACACAATAAAAAAACAGCGCACTAAAAAAGCTTTGTGACAGTGTACCACAAATGGTGATATGCACTGATATACAGTAATGCATATATACCATTTCGAGATTCCTTGGTAGTCAAGATAGAATACATAATCTCATATAGTAATACAGCAAGTAATATAAATAATAAGAGGAAATAGCACTGATAGGTATCACACTCACATTTATTAGAGCCTGTATATGAAACTGGCTTAGGCATATACACTTGAGTGTAGGATGTTCCACCAGAGTATATTGATAGCAGATTTAATCCGCAAAGGTAAAAAGTTGGAGAAATGCACCAAATGTAAATATCAAAACTTATTGTACATCAGAAACATAAAAACCTTACATTCCAATTTACTGGGTGCCATAAAAAAAGTCCACAGTAATAGCACAATGCGTTTCAACACAGCCTGCGTCGTTCTCAGGTGCTGGATACTTAGTATTGTAATATCCCCCTTTTTAAACCACCAAAATCGGTGCCAAAATCTCCAGTTCTGTTCCCACTAATGGCACTTCTTCCACTGGCTGATCAGTGGCCATATTGGTACACCCGAAGGTTCCGCCAGAAAAGGTGGGGTATGATTTAGTCCATGTTAATTTGAGTTATTCAAATATGAACATTGACTAAATTAGAGAAAAGCCCTTTTGGAGTCCCAATATGGCTGTGTAAGATTGAGGTAACTAACCAAGAAGCCAAAAGGAGGTTTAAGATGGCTGCCGCGACATATCCGGTGGAAGCTATAGATACTGCGATTGGCCATAACGATGGACTTGTTTTTTGATTCTTCTTTTCTGGATTCATTCATGATATTCCCCATGCATCCCCCTGCATCCTTTACTCTATTTTTTCTGGTGCAGTATATATTTCCGATTTTAGAGTTTAGTTCACTGAAAAAGGAACTTTAATGCAATTAAAAGGTTACAACATATCAGTACTCCCACATTAGTGTCACATAAGGTAATATCCTTTGTCAAACTAATTATTCTAACAGGTTGACACTTTTACATGCATTGGTTGACTAAAGCAACTATTTGAAGATTTGATTATCTTTCAGTTTTAACAATGATTTGTTTTTATGTTACATCAATACTCTATAGAAGTCAGTTGGTCCTCTTGCAGGAATGTGGCTCTCTCATTTTGCATCCCTAGGCCTAGTGATTACTCACACAAACAATTTTTACTGAAATGTAGATTTTGTTCATACCATATGATGGTTCAGCTTGGTGAATGTTGTCGAAGGAAAAAGATTTGGAGAAACATTTGGGCAGTCCAATAAAAAGTGAACAGTTGTGCCTATTAGTATGCAGCAATGCAAAAATGGCTACAATATTGAATAGCCTACTGACCAGCAATATCACACATTTTTGCAATTATGAGTTGTCAAAATGTCCAAAATTGGGAAAACCCTTTGATTTGTATTTCTCAGGTTTGATGACTCAATATCAGTCTATTTTAGAGTAACACTATATTAAAAAATAAAGTATACATCATTAAAAATATAATATGATGCTGCAGAATGTAATGTAGCACACTTAAATTAAAAAAAAATTTAAATTGCATTTTGAAAAGAGCTCATGCACAGACAACAGTGATAAAGCATATTTCATTACTTCTCACCATTTCTGTTGGAAAACCTTTAGCCACTATTACAACTTTAGAATGGAATCCCATGGAGTAAATCAAGTGTTTTAGTACATCAGGCGGTATAATGTGAAACTAAGATTATTTTATTGCCTCTCAATTATCTTTTTTATTCCTGGGTTGCAGTTCTGACGAACAGAGTTTCTTTAATCAACTTCTGGCCACTGCAATATGTAATATGATTTTCCCAAGACCAATTTAGCACACAGCAGTAGCATAACAAGGAGTTGAAGCTTGTGCAAAAATATAGGCATTATTAGCATGGAAAATATTATGTGCCAAAGGCCCATGTATATCAAACATTACCGCAACCAACACCAACACCACTACTACATTTCAGAATAGATTTGTTTTCTACAAAGAGTTAAAAAAAGACAGCCACGATCAGTGAGGGTAGGGTTCACTTGTGCCGTATACCACCACACATTTTATATTACTGAGGGAAGAAGCTTGCAATTTGCATAGCACAAGCACAAAAGCATGCTGCAAATCAAGTAATCTCATACTATAAATTAAATAAATAATTTTTTTTAAATATCACAAATCAGTAAAAATGTAAAATCAATGTATTAATATTGGTACAAGTGGTACTGTCAGTAGCAGCTAGGGAAGATAATTTTCTTTGTCTTTCTCTCTTTTTACATTTAATTTACTCTCATCATCCCTGCTATTATTCATAATGATAATGGTAGTAGTAGTGGTAGAAGTAGCGCCATTGTATAGAATCATATACAGCACCAGTGGACTTGCTGCCTGCCCTAGTACTTTCTCGTTTTGCTCCTTCCCTCAGTAATTCAGATTTGTGGGGTCTTTGGAGACATTGGATTATACCAGCACAATTGACATAATCTTTCATTCTCTCCCTACTCACTACCTTGTTGCACAATGTGCACTTTGTGTCATTCTTCTGGGAAATACTTAAAATGATTCCTTTTCTTCACTGCATTGTATTAGTTTCAGTGCCTTGTGGCCGCTGAGGATGTGGGTGGTGTCGGGGGCATTAGCATCTGTTTCTACAATAACTTCTACACAAGCACTTGGTTCATTAATGCTAATGGAAATGTTGATGATGGTGGTACTGGTAAAGATAGTGGTATTAATGGTAGTGATGATAACAGAAAGGGGGCTGCAATACATCACCAGTGCCTGGTCCTGCTCCCAGGACTTAAATGTCGTAGTTCATAAATAACGTCCTTTATTTAAAAGCAAAGTTATGTTTGGATATTTTGGCATAATTGGGGGTGGAGGGGGGAGTGGAGGCACAAAGAAGAGGGACGTTAACATGTTTTGTGCAGTGCAAGGTACTACCTTTAGAATTTATTCTGGTGGCTGTCTTCATAGCAGATTCTTCTGCTACTGTAGACTGTGACTTAACAAATACAGCAACAACAAAAAAAGCAGGAGAAAACCCATCAACAATTGTCTCCTGGTTGGTGAATCGGAAGTAATGGACAAGCTAGTCCTACTATGCTGAAGTTTAATATTACTAACAGTGGTGATGGTGGAAATGGTCTAGCAACATCACCAGTATTATGAGATGCACATAAATATGTACACCGAGGCATGTACACCCAACTAGATTTTTGCATTAAGAGGTAGAGATAATCTAAGATTAATAAGATTCTCTCTGATATATAGACACATGAATATCTTCACAATGCCATGACCATTTGAAACAACTCACTGCATTGTGTGTGACTCTATGCCTAATTCTATAGAAAATAAAAAGCATACATCAGTGAAACATGGATTATTGGGACAAAATGCAAAAAGATATGCAAGGTGAGGGGAAGAGATTGTCTGGCACAACAAAAGCCTGCATAGTGATAATGTGATCGTTGTCTCATTAGATCTAATTAACATGGAAATGTTCATTAACACTGAGGTGTGATGAGATTTTGAATCTGATAGGTGTTCACCAGGGTTCCATTAGTTCCTCAGCTTAGTTATCATAGTGTGACATAAACCCCTATTCCCAAATTCAGTCCTCTTTTCAAAGCTTATTTTCACAGATCTTTCTTTTTCCCATTGCCATTCAAGTATAATTAATTTTATATCTTATCTGGTGTAATTTTCACTTGTGGTTCAGTTTTGTCTGTCAAATTGTGTAACACTAGATATTTTTTCCTTTTCTCAGAATTTGACCATGAAAGACACTGATATAGTAGAATCATAAACCGCTTTCACAAATTCCCTAGAAGCTAAATGTGAGTCAGAACTCAGAACTTATTTGCTAAAGATAATTAATTGATCAATGCAACCGAAGAGAGAAAAATATGTCTGATGAAGGGAATGAGTCTTGAGACCGCTCTTAAAGTTCATGAGGCCACAAAGAAAATCTAGCATGAGTTTTACTGCAAATGGTTTCTGGAGAGCAGACCTATGGTGGAAAGTGCCAGGATCACCAATGGAAAGACCTAAGGGGTCACAAGTGGAAATCACATAGACTTAATAACATTGGTATTTTAATGTTACTGAAATAAGTGCTTCATGTTGATATGTTGCATCAAAACAACAAGCCAAATTATGAGACTTTCTTTTAAAAAATTGACTTCAATATGAAAGATAAAACAACCTAGCTAACAGGATGAGCATCGCATGAAATCAGGCTACATAACGCTGTCAAGGACATACTGACAATCCCTTTGGAAAATGTTTCATATGTTCTAAACTTAGAAGTGGGTCTCATGTCACTGAAATGTTTGTCTAAGCATACACAAAGAATGCCATTAAGAGAAAATGAATAAACAGTTAAGAAAAAGGTGTATGTAGTAGCAGCAGGAACATGCTTGAGAAATCAGGTTTCCATAACTATCAAAGAGTACCCAGCTTGACAAACAAATATGCACAGACAGGTACCATGTTTCAGACTTCATTTTTTTGAAGATACCCTTAGCAGTGTACACTATTTCAAATATAGCTTTTATTTTTATTTTTAAACAGAAGTCTGGGCTATGTTCCAAAATGATCAGTGACCAGCCATGGACTGCAGTTTTGACCTTGTGGGACTTATCGGCTTGGTGTACAGCAGACATTAGACATTAGAAGTAGATAAATGTCACAATGATAAATGTGTGTCCGGAGGAGAAGCCAACAAGTGGAGGAAAAAGC